ATTGGTAACTATATTCAACATATGTTTCAGATTATTATCATGTTGAAAAACAAAGTCATTATTTGTCAAATGTTATGCCTGCATTATCCCAATTAACTCATCTTTAAGAATTTCGTAATATAGCTCCTTATTTATATTTTTCTCGATCCTACAATAGTTTTTAACACCATATACACTCATATAGCTCAATATCATTACTAACCTGCTATTATATTTCACTGTCAGCTTTACATGTTGCGGTAATAATGGTGAATTCGAGTCTTTTCAACAGTACTCTTTTCTATCTGAACCAAAAATTTTAAACTTTGATTTGTTTAAAAAAATAACCCTTTACCAATCTTTAACAGTCCAATTATAATATTTTCTTGTGAAGTTTCTTTAAAATTTTTTGGTCTGTGGTTGAAGTAGAGATTTTTTTTTCTTTGCCCAAGATTTGAATCCTTGTCTCCATAGTATACAGCAGATTGTATTTGTGAAAACATAAACACCTTCATTGAATATTAGTTTTTTTTGGGCTTGAATAGCAGTTAGGCATGTATCTAATCTAAATTCCCACACTATTTTTCTTTCATAGCAGGTGGTAAGTATTCTGGGGTGGCCTGGCTTTGGTAAAATATCCAAGCAACCAGTTTGTTTCTTTAAATTTTTTATTCTTAAGACTGTACTATAGCTTACTTTTTTATGAAAAGCAATAGTATGGCTAGAATAACCTTTTTCAAGAAGGGTGAAAATATAGTTTTTTTTGAAATTGGAATTACTTTCATTGTTATATTAGTTCTTTTGCATACTTACTATTATTAATCTAGCAAGTATTTATATATTTTTGGTATTAATGCATCATAATACATATTTTATTTTGCTTATATAAATATGCTATAATTATTACACTACTGTATATAAAAAATGCATAATCAGAGGTTTTTTAAAAAAACCACAAAATAGATATTAACCAAATTTGTTCAGATTAAAATCTAAAATGTAGAGTTTATATTATCTAAATTTGCTGGTTATATAATTTATAAAACATTAAGGATCTAAAATAAAAAAAAAAATAAAAAAAATAATTATAAAAGTTAGTATATATATGATTTGTACCCAGAAGCAATTTATATATTATATCAAAAAAAAAAAAATACCTAGTTGGTATAAACATTGAAAACTGACAAAATTAAATAAAAAATATATATATATACTAAGTACTTTTTAATTATTTGTAAAGAACCTATTATGTTAATATAAATTATATATGTGTACTTAATTAATAGAATTGTAAACTACTGTATTTGACATAGATAGAATTAGTCCTACACAATTAACTATTTTAAAAATGAATATAAGCAACACAATATATTTTTTAAAGTTAATATACAATAATTATATAGTCTTCATTACAGTATTTATTAATTATCATATCATCTAGTTAAAAAAAATTTTGGAATAGCCTGCTAACATAGTATAGCATATATATACACAACTTATCTTTCTTATCAATACAGCAATAAAAAAATTGTGTGTAAATTATTAATTAAGTAGCCTTTTTGTTGTGCTATATGAATGTATATTGGTTGACTATCCTGTAAAATTTACTCTGTATGTGTTGTATTTTGCATTAAGAAGTGTTATAATTTGTATTATATCTAATCTAGTATAATAGATCTCTGACTTATTTATCTTTATTGGTTAATAAAAATTATACAAACTATAAATGACAAGTAGAGTTATAAAAAAATAAATAATTTTTTTATAACAAAATAACTTGTTATATGACAAGATATCATTTATTTTTAAATAACAATATGTCATCACTGTTATATTATGATGATTTACATCTTTCCCAACTTTTTGAAATTATCAGAATTTTTCTAAAAATTCAGAGAAATATATTCATTTACTACAGTGTGGGTATCCTTAAATCAACATATAAAATACATAATTTTTAAAGCTTATAAATAAAAAACTAAAAAAGTTATAAATCAAATCTCTTTGTAAAATAATAAAATCAAACATAAAGAACAAAGTTACGAAGTTTATTTTTAAATTAATTAGCATTTAGTAGAGTTATTTCCTTTTAAAGTTGGCCTACTTTATTAAAAATTTGGCCATCTTAATTTTGGCCAAAATTACTAATAATATATTTTTAATTTAATTTTGGCCAAAATTATTAATAAATTTTTTTATTAAAATTTATTAAATAAAAGTATGCTATATTTAATATTATAAAAAATGAATAATTTAAGTTCTCTCTCTCTCTCTCTCTAATACATAATTCTAATTTAATATATACTTATATTATCCAATCATATTGGTTTATTTCTGTGTAACATGATTCGAAATTTGGCCGCTATATTTATGACTTGTTGATTTAAGGATTCCCGCACTGTAGATTTTTTGGATCTCTTGCAATATAGGTGATACCTATTCTAAATCAATCGATTGATTATATTTTTTATTAATAGTCTCACCTATACTGCAAGAGATCCGATTTTTCGATGTTTCTTATTGCAAATCCCATAAATAACTCTAACCCATTTTTCTGTGGGAAAATAGTTGTTTGATATTATTTGTAATAAGAAACTTTAACAACCGAATTAACTTATTCTTGCATGTGATAATCACTATTGTAGTTTATAGTTATTATAACAGATAATGTAAATATAACTCGATAACACTATATAAAACCTATCTATAATTTTCTAAGTGACGTATTGTAATTTTGTAATCAGCGATCTATAAATTCTATTTATTTTTATTTGCAAGCCTATTTATATAATAAGATATAATATACATCATCTCCTTTTTCATTTTCTGATTTTGAAATTTCAAAACAAAAATAGGACTTTTCAAACTCCCACTTATTTTCAAAATAAGTTAACTCTGAAACCCCCCAGTAGAAACAACTCTTTGATCTAAATAGGAATATAAAATTTGTAAGCAATTGAAATGACCTTAGTGCCCCCAGAAAGTCATGCGGTAGTGAGAAACTATTTTTAAAAGAATATCCCAACATTCTTACAGTTGTATGTATATGTGTGCTTAAGTTATTGTTATGGGCTATTTGTATTTTTTTATATTTTCGGCAAGCTACTTCAAAATGCCTAAATGCCGAAATTATTTCCAACTAACTAATTATTTTCGGCTTACATTAATTGTTATAAATATCACAGGTCGAATCAATGAATAATGGGTACATATCGGGAGACAAATCTCCCGATATGTACCCGTTATTCTACCATAGATCCGCCAAATAACTGTAGCGCATATAGCTTAGGTAGATCGATAATGGTAACATAACAGTAATATACCGGGACATCCCGGTATCTTACTCTTAGTCCAAATAGTGCTAAGAGTAAGATACTGGGATGTCCTTGTATGTTACTGTTATGTTACCATTATCGATCTATCTAACCTATATGCTACCAATATGCTACCGATATGTACCCGTTATTCATTGATTCAACCAGTGTATATGTTGTGCCTCAGATTAATGCTTGCGTCAGATGTCAACTTTTTGGCCCGCATTAACTGATCGACATTGATTGACTTAAATTAAGCCCAAATCCTTCCCAGATTCTTACCCTAACCCTAATCTAACTTAGGCCGGTTTTAATCTAACGCAAGAATTGATCTGAGGCACGACATATATACCGATAATCATTTCCATGACTCAATTATAGTAATAAAATAAATATTAGTTATATATTTTTTTGATCTGCAAACGATCAGTTTAAAAATCAGCTGTCATTCGACCTGTGAAAATAATTAACCAACTAATCGATTAGAAAATTTTGGGCAATTTGTATTATTACTTAAAAATTTTTGATATTTTTGGTGTCCTAAATTATTTTCGGTAGCCTAAATATTTAAGATTTTAGGCAATCGAAAACATTTTCGGCATCCTAAATTATTTAGACTGTCAAATTATTTAGGCTACGTATCGAAAGTATTTTATTTATAGCATGTGCAAATTAATTTAGACAGCATACACGTATATTCACCAAAAACTACTACGAAAGTAATTAAATTAACATATATCATAAGTAAACGAGTGGGAAGAGTTGGCAAAAAAAAGTCTTTTTTTTTTTATTAACAATATATATTTGCCGATGACCTAAGTCATAACATTTTTTTGATATGACTTTGGTCATATTAAATGCTACGTAATAAGATTTATTTTACCAGATGATTCTTACTATATCTGTATATTATATCGGCCAACCCTGTCTGCAAACGCGCATGATGTAATATTATGCATATACCGCAAAAAGGAAACCCAATTAGGTAAACAAACCCGCGTACTGCTGCTATACAAACATCAACCCATTCTAGGAATGATTTTTTCTGGGGCTTCTGGGAATATTATTGTGCACGTATTGTTTTTTACAATTACTGTGCAATATGCACGAAAAAAATAAAATGACACTCCTGTATAAAAAAATTTTTTGCACAGCCGAATTTTTTACAATGTGAAAAAACGCGGTTGTTATTAAAGTACAAAGCTGTGGGTAGACAAGAATTTTCAAAATACATTTTTGATGCAATAGTATAAGTCTACTAACTATGCTAATCAAAAACGTAATTAGTATCACATTGGCTAAACATTCAATGTCTCCCATAATGCTCTGGGCACTTACAGTATTTATTAATTATCGTTATATCTCCAATTGTTTTTTATATGTCGTAAGTGGGAACAGAATTTAAGTTGATTCAGGAAATTTAAGGTTAGGTTGGGATTTTTAGTATAATTATTCCGTTCTAATCTAAGTGGATTCCGAACCAATTATGATTCCATTCCCACTTACAACATATATATTAAAAAGGTTTACATTAATTATGTCGCAATATGTTAGTATAATTTACAATTAAGTAAAAAATCGATTTAACATTCTATGCTAAAAATAAAATTACAAAATTCCTCCCAAAAAAAACATATCAAACAAATCATTAGTATATAACAAATATACCGAATTAATAGAACAATATTAATAGTAAAAAAAAGTCTTTTAGCTGTTTTTAAAAAGTATATCTAAATTACCATAATCTTTATTGAATTCAGGTGACCTGGGACCAACAGGTCTTCCGTTCGTTTCAAAATTAATTCCAGATGAAGGCGCCTTAGGTAGTGGCTTATACTGCGACCCACCATAACCAGATGAAGAAACTATAGGTTGAGATTCACTATTTGTAGGCGAAAAATCTATAGTTTGTGGCGGAGGTAGTGGCTTATACTGAGATCCACCATAACCAGGTGAAGAAACTATAGGTTGAGATTCACTATTTGTAGGTGAAAAATCTATAGTTTGTGGCGGAGATAGTGGCTTATATTGGGATCCACCATAACCAGGTGAAGAAACTATAGGACTATTTGTAGGTGAAAAATCTATAGTTTGTGGCGGTCTACTGATAGGCCTTTCGCTATCAAATTTATATTCAGTTGAAGGCTGCAGCCCACCAACTGGTTTTCTACTAGCATATTTATATTCGCGTGAAGCTCGTCTCGTAGTTTCCTCTTCACGTCTACCAGGTGACGGTAAATTAGGTAAACTGTTCATTTGATTATATTCTCCGTGTAAAGGAATTTTTTGTGGTTTCGTAAGTCCTTTATTACTTTCTTTCATATTACCATACCACTCAACTAAGTTTTTTGCACCTATTTGTTCAACTTTCCATTGAGCCCATTTCTTCATCGGAATATTAACCGAATCAAATTGGAAAACAACACTATGACCATGTCCATTATCCCCACCTGTGATTTTACGAGTTGCTCCCCATGAAAAATCTGATGAATAAAAAATGTCAATAAATAAAATAAATAAATAAATATATTTCTTTTTCACGGATCGAATTTTAAAATTTCTATACATTTCTGAGAGATCGGCAGAATATCGGACGTCGATATATCTGATAGTTAACCGATTTTTTGCTAGGGATGTTAATCGGTCCCGCAGTAATTGTCAGCCGACTTTGAGCAAGATTTATAAAAAATTGACATTTTTAACC